CAGCTCTTCACATTCTTGGAAGCAGTATGAAGGCAGTAAAATATGACAGGCTGTCAGACGAAAATGAGGTGCTAAACCAGAAAGACTATTTTGGGACTGGAAAAATTCTCATTTTAAAAGTCTATTGTTAGAAGTATTTTTCTATGAAGTTTTGATGGTAAAGTTATCTCCCATCTCTGACTAGCTCTCCGCTTGCCTGTCTAATTGAAAAATGTAAAACAAGTTTTACCGGAACCCCTGAAATCTTAAATAAGGCAAAACCTCAAGAGATGGAGATTTGGATCAGTAGTGTGCCAGGTCTCAGTAATGCCATAAAGCTTTTGCCAGTTTATCACTTCAAGTCAGCCAGATGTTTTCAATCATGTCCAAACCATAAAATAAAATATAGCTATGAAATTTTGGGTTTAGTCATTCCTCTTTTATCGGTTAACATTGAGGTGTGCAGTGCTCCTGCAGCTGATGTTAGTTCACAGGAATGAATGGAGATCTTCGTTCTGCTGCTAGCTAGAGAGAAAAATTAAGTGGCTAGTGAAGTGGCAGGAGAGGGGCTAGGAAAGTCTAATCCTACTTTGGCCATTTTGTCTGCAGGGAAGAAATGGCATATCAGACAGCTCTACCTTCATTTCAGCTCGACGGTTGGCTGCGTGCATATACAGAGCAAAGAACTGCACAGACTCAGGCACTTAAAAATCCATCTTTTGTGGTCTCAGCAGTGCTACAAAGTGGATATTTTAAAAACCGCAAGGGTATGTACTTTGAAATATTTAGCAGTGGTAATTATATCTACAAAGCATACCACTGCTGAAGTGTTGGTGGTACCATCCAATAGGATAAAAATATACTTTTTTTTATTTGTTGTACATCCCAATATGCCAAAGGGACCTTAAAGAAAATTCTTGGCTGACACAAATCCCTGTAGCTGCACTGACATTACTGTATGAACTGACAGGATTTAGCCTGTATATTCTACAAGCTGGAATCGATTAAGCTAGCCAAAGTGGTAGAAACTTTGTGAAAAACACCAAGAGGAGAACACAGAGTAAGAGAGAAATAAACATAAATTCAGTGGCGAATATACTTTAAATCATTTTTAGAGGAAAGTAAGTTTTAAGATTTTTTTTTAAAGTAGAGATGAACAGAAATGGATATTGCTAGTAAACAAGTTTTGCGTCTAACCACAGCAAAGATGGGATTACATTCTGTCCAAGAACCACTCAGAAAATACAGATTTTTTGGTGTCAAACTTTGCAGCTCAATAAAAAAAAAAAAAAAAAAGATTTAGTTTAGTTTTTTTAATTGGTAAGGAAACATGCTCGTGTTCCGTCAGAAGAAAAATCAGACAAATGAAATATATGGATACTGAAATGCTGCCGTGGTGACGCACTCCAAATTCGGCTGTACTGCAAGTCCCGTGACATAATGTGCTTTTCTTTTGATGGAATCAGTAGAAATTCTGGAAGCCGCAAACATCCTGAATGACCCACTGTTCTTGTTAGATATCAGAGTGCCCTGACAAGCGAGAGTGTCCTAAAAAAATTGCAGAGCACGCTTTGCCGACCAACATGTCACCAGCTCTGGGGACAGCAGATCAAGAGGAGGTCTGAAAGCAATGATTCATCGTACACAGGCGGAGCAGACGTCTTGGAGCAGTGACTGTATGCTTCTACTGACCTAGAGTGAAATCAAGTGCATGGCTTTGGAGCATATTCAAAAGTCCATTTAATACCATTACGTTTGGGAAGATGAGAAGGGGCAAGTTTCTTGAGGAGTGACTGATAACATTTGCCAAAGAGAAAGAGGTTTTGATTCGCGGATTGGTCACGGTTGATTTAAAATAGTACAGCTTTTTGACTGAGGGCGTACTTGCCTAAGATACAGAGGGATGCTAACGAAATGCAAAAAGTGGGTTTATTTGCGGTGGAATTCTGCCACATTTTTCCAGCTGGGGGCAGGAATTCTCATAAATCGACAGCTGCAGAAGGCAGTTAATCCAAAGGCTAATCTCTGTCTGTCCAAATCGCTTACAGACATATTTGCCACACATACACGAGGCTTTCTGTATGCATCTCGATGAAGCCAAGGGGAAGAGAGCAGCCCGCAGTGGGACTGTATCAGGTGGGAGAGCGGGTGGTGGGGAACGCTCTCCCTGGGCTGGCTTTCACAGTAACCTTGCCTGGCAGCTCGCTTGGCCGTATTTTGATGAATCACTCAAGCAGCTGCGCTAGCCCTGTGCAAACCTGTTATGCTGAACCTCCAAAGCAAGCTGATTTTGCATTTCATTGTTCAGATCACCATAGAGACTATTAGGGAAGGCAATATCTACGGCAAAAGAAATTTACTTGGTTCAATGTTCAATTCCAGACCCAATTTCCAGCTTTTACACTTGCATTTACATTTCCTTCTGTCAGCAGTCTCTCCTCCCTCTTCTCCTCTCCCCCACATTCTCTTCTACTGTCACTTGCTCTGTATCTGTCATCCCAAGTCTCCTTTTTCCCCTCTTTCTCTACATGTTTTTGGTGCTCTGCTTCTCCCTGGTCTTGTGTAGCCATGGACCTGACTAGCTTCTGCCCCCCTGAAAGGGTACCAAGTAGGGCAGTCTCACTTCCATAGCAAATTAACGGTCATCTGCAAGGAAAGCAGCTGAGGGCTTCAATCCATTCAGAACAGGGAGGAGTGGCAAAAAAACCCTAATAAAACCGAAGATAACAAGAAAAATCCTTCTCTTTTTTAAACCAGCATAATCAGACAAAGAAGCAAGCAAGGAAGCATACAAACCTCACACCAAACCCAAAATACTTGTTGAAGAGAAGGAGGACAGGAGCTAAACAAAATTTCCAGAGGAAAATCAGCGTTCACCTGTATGTTGCTTTCTGTAATTCTGTCTCTCGTGTAGCTCCAGTATCTCTGCGTGAACACAAGTACACGAGTGCATGGATGCAAACCAGACGCTGCTCCAAGCGGGTCAACGACACAATCGATTGATTTAGTTTTTGCTGAAGGACCTCAGCCCCTTCCTATAGTGCCTACCTGCCGAAATCATAAAGTTATTGTGTAGTCAGGGGATTTTACTCTTCCTTCTGTCAGGTGTGATGTGGGTGTTTGATGTGGAAAGTGTTGGCACTTATCAAAGACAAGAAAAATCCATCAGGTCTGAAGCAGCGAAGAGGTCCCCGCAGCTCCAGCGGATGGACAAAATGCTTAAAGAGGTTACGTGTACAGCTGAACAAATGGGCACGTGCAGAAAGCAGAATATCTGGACATTAAAACCATTCCTTGTGCAAGTTCCCTCAAACAGTGAATAGAGTATGAACAGACTGAATCTGCAAAGACACCAAAAATGCAACTCTCAGAGGCAGTTGTTAAAAAGACAAACACTCTAAGGGAGGGAAAACAGGCACCAAGACTTCTCAGAGTCAACAACTACCATTGTACACTACTGAAAGGCTTGGGGGATTTTGTGACCAGAAAACCAAATGTTCAACAGTTAATGCTGGACATGTTACAAAACTCGCAAAATCAATAGGCAGTTTCTGCAGTCCTTGCCGAAACCCTTTAAGTTCAAATAATTCTCATGTTACACAGGAGCTTGTAAGGATGACAGAGTTTATTTTCACATTCTTAACCGGGAATAAGTCAGTACAAGAAATAAAGAAAAGCTATTGTTTTTGTCCGAGCAGCTTCCATTTTTTCTGAGCAGGATTTTCCATTGTGTACTCACATGGCATTGGCAAACAAGCGCCAGCCGCATGAAACCGCGCTGTCTTTTCACCTGCTAACTTGAACTGCATATACACAAAGATTTAAGTACTATGGGTGCCCTTTTAACACACATAGCATTGCTCCTGATGATTTAGTCACACTTTTTTTTCTATTTTATTTATTTGAAGATTCAGCAATTCACATTATCCTGTGTCCAGATAATGCTGACACACATGTTCAAAGTCAAATACACTTAACTTATTTTTAAGAGCATTACGGACTTAAAGACTAAATCGGCAAGGTCTTATCACAAAAGCTGGGGCAAAGCCAGCACGTTTCATGAAGTTTCCTTACCTTTTTTCTTTGGAAGTTCACATCGAGTTTCATTGAGGCGCACTTGTTCAGTGTGTTCAGTCGTCTACGGGGCAAAGCAAATCCAAAAGATTAGCAGCATCTGATTAAAGGGCACGACTTTTCGTAAGTTCAAAAGCTTTTCTCTTATCTGCCTGTAGGGTGCTAACTACATACAACAGGCTTCAGAAATGATACTGGTCATGTTATTGCAGGCTGTAAGACCGCTGAGTTAAAAGGGAATCTTAGCCTCACATTACTTGATAGCCAGGTTTTATGCATTGCTTTTTAATTTATAGATATGTAAGTACTTAGCAAAGGAAATAGGTATAGACAAACACCCTGATAGATGAGGAAATGACAGGAGACAAAGGAGCTAAGTTGCCTTCTGCAGGACCATAATGTAATTGGTCTAATATGATTTAAGGTTAAATTAAATTAAATTTATGAGATTTCAAAACACTTGTGAAAGACAAAAGAAATAGATGTATTTCCTCACTTTAGGCAGCTAGCACCTCCTTTAAGAAGCTGACATAAAGAAGAACTTCTAGCAGTTAGTTAAATGTTTCTCCTAAGCTAATAGTTCCTTTCCCACAGCAGTGGATGTTACAGAAAGGTTAACACCCAAAATGTAACAAATGTAACATCTTTAAATAAGTATTTTTAATTATTTTTCACCATGTTTGTAGTGATGTTATCAGGGACTCTGTAAGGCTCCTGCTCCTAAAATCCAAGGCTATCCTATGACACTATTGGGTTGGCTATCCCATGACAATATTGGGTTGAAATGGTGATCTGATAAAGATGGAAAGCGAATGTGCATGTGTGTCCATGTGCAGACACAGCCAGGGGACAAGAAAACACGCCCTTCCAATAGACAGCCTACCACACTAATCATAACTGATTAGTTTTTATTTATATTTAAAGGTCCTGATTCATGAAACCATCCATCTTCTAAAAGCAAAGACTCCGAGTTAAAAATGTTCAACTTTGAACATTTTCCAGATTTAGGGCTGAGTTTCAAAATAAAGAAAGGCAGAGTGAGCGCGCCACGTGCCCACAACACCCTTCCGTAGGCTGCCTGCAGCTCCTGAGAATTTGCATCAAGAGCTGCCCCTGTTGCTTCTGCGTCTCAGGAAGAGGCTGCAAATCTCCAGAACTGATAACATTTGAAATGTATGTGATAAGTTACAAGGACACACGAAAAAAAGTATCCTATCAATGATATAATCTCTCACATAGCATAAGAACATTATGGCATTAACATATTCCTCCCCAGGACTTCTAGTGTTAAAAATACTTTCCAGTTGCCACCACTAATAAAGAACCAACCCATGGTTCCACAGATCCATGTGGATCCTGCTTAAAAAAAAAATCCCTCACCAACTATCACCTGCTCCTTTGTAGATAAAATACTCCTCCCTAACTCAAGCCAATAAACCCGTTATGCCATATCAGAAAAGTCCTGTGCTCATCATATTAATGTGAGTATAATGCATGCACAAGCACGCCCTGCATGCATGATGGTAATGTTCTTGTAATAAATTTCAGGATTTGTGGCTCTGTAGCTATATCTTCAGCCTTCTGCCCACAAATCCTCCTCCTCAGGGATTATGTCTATTATTGCAAAGCTCATCTTTTGCCCAAACATGGAATTTCTCAACTCAAAGTTGCATCTTCTTGGGGCTCTGGGGCTGAATAATGTTCAGCGGTTCTTTTGAGTGCAAAATGTTTAAATTCTCATATCAATTCCCAATATAAAGAGGCACAGACACATTTTCAAAGCACTCCAGCCCAACTTTCCATCCTTGGAGACAGCTTCCTCCAAGGGGTGAACTGGAGGCTCAGGTCCAAGTCCCTGCACCTCTGCATTAGCTGGCCTGTGCTGGACAAACAAAGTTGTGGCCACATTTCCACACCGATGCATCACTGTGTGCCACTGGAGTGCTCATAGCTGCGTATCTGAATCAAGCTGCTGCTGTGTCCTCACACCTTTACATGGTGAGTGGCTAGACCAGGGACAGGGCAGTGCTCACTGCTTCCTTCACCTAAACGTGTCCTGCAAGGCTGACCTGGAGATAGACGTCAGCTAAATTCACACCCAGAGGCTCAGAAATCCTGAGAAACCACTGCCTCTGCTCAAGCTGTTCATCAACTCTGAAAACCAAGCCATGGGCTCCACTTCCCTTGCCTCCACAAGAGCAGGCACTGAAGAAGCTCTCCTGAGGAAGAGGTCCACAACAGCCCCTGGCAGGTGATCACTGCAACTGCTTCCTCAACAGTTTATGAAACCCCTCTATACTTACTGCCTATTTGCAGTTGTTAAGGAGAAGATGTAGAAGAAAACATTCTAAATACAGGAACAGTGCTCCTTCCATTCGCTATGGTGTCGCCTGCCTTCTAAAATCCAAGGAGCAAGCCACGCTCTTCAGGAGTGGGAAGACGAGGAGGTGACAGGCCATGATGCACCTTTTATCCTCTTTGCAGCCAGGTACTTCTGCACGTATCCAGCCAACAGCAGAAAGTGACATGGCATTTCTATTAAGGTGGGCTGCTTCTTCAGCATGGATCAGTGCAGAAAGCATGTGATCAAACCAACAAGACCATCCAAAGCCATCGCTTTCCTGCTAATGGCATTCGAGAGAGAGATAGTTGCAGCAGGGGCTGAGAGGTCAGCTATATAAAAGTGAATATTGTTACTTAAACTGGAGGCTTGGGAAGCCACACCATTGTCCTGGCTGCTTTCTAACCTGGCTTTGCTATGAAAAACTCGCTCCACCAAAAACAAAACTACTTTTTAATACGTGCCAGGGACTCAACCTCAGGTTTTCAATTCACCCATCTACAAAACATCAGCATGCTTTCTGGGGCTCTTCCAATGCTATGGGAAGATTTGCCAATGAAATTAGAGATCTAATGGCCATATTTGTGAGCCTCTCTGGTACTAACAACTCCAATCAAAGCCAGTCTGTTTCAACTTCTTATGCCTTGTTGGTGTGCCAGCGGTGGCACAAAGCTTTTCTCATCTGCTTACATGACCGACAGCCAAGTCCTCAGCAAATCTTTCAAAAACCAAAAAATAGAAGTCTCTGGCTACAAAAGGCTGTGACTAATGTCCCAGTCAAAGTGAGACAAGCACTACACTTTCATGTCACTCCTTAAAAACATTGGAAAAGACTCATCTGTAATGTTAAGAAAACACAAAATCCGGACTTGAGAAAATGGTTAACACATTAGGTTAAGAAAACACATTAAATAAACACAAGAGAGGTGACTATATAAAACCCAGATCATCTCAGATGCATTTGAATGCTTGTCTGGAAAGCTCTGCCTTGTTCAGGTGAAGCCTGAAAAATATTTAATACAATAAAAGCTCCACTGATGTTAATTTTATTTCTTTTCCAGGCCATCACAGGTAAATAACAACTCTGTGGTTTAGCACTTATCTCTATGGTGAAACATCACATCTGTGTTGAGAAGTGTCCCTTGAAACAATACTTAAAAGCCATCAGAGTGATTCAGGTACCCAAACAGAGATGTCCGGTGCTATTTTAGATCCCTTAGAGGACTAAGCCTGGCTTTCAGCTGCTGCAGGTTCTTTTGGTCCAGCCAGCTCACAGAGAAGTCTGAGATATCTTATGAGATCTAAGACGGCATTAGACATGGGTATTTAGGGCTCTGAATCCCAACCCCAGCACTGTACTTATTAACCCTTATGATGGAAGTTTTTCAGAAGCAGGAAATCTCTGCCTTTTGCATTCTGTACAGCACTAAGCAGTGTTTACAAATAAATACAAGCTTGCAGCAATGCAGGATCTGATTAGCTGAAAAATCTTGCGGGTGACCTGTTGTCCTACTCAAAGAGCCATCCAGATAATGGGAAGACAACTTTAAAGTGACTTGGAGCTCCATGAATTCCCCTGGACCTGGTGGCGAAAGAAGCCAGGGGAACCAACTAGTTTTGCAGGAGGACATACCATGGGGAGGGTCAGCATGGACTGCACAGTGTCTCCTACCTCTGCAGATCTGCAGATGTCCTCTATTATGGATCGTGACCAGGCAGATACATTATATGGTTCTGTAAAGTCCTCTCTGAGGGAAAAACGACACTATTACTTCGCTTTACCATTATTCTTAGCCAAGTTTAGCTGCTGCATGCATATGCACCTCGCTGGCTTCTTCTGGTGCTGTAGAATTTGGGAATGAGACATCCAGCTTCCCATGCTGGGCTCTGCTGAGGTCTGAACGCTAAATAAGGGGTCCTCCCAGTACTGTCAGGGCTGGGATGCGAAGCGTGAAGGAACATACTGTTTTACAGTCCTAGGACTTACTGTCATGGCTGTAACTGAGTTACCTTGTAGGCTACATGCTCACACGAGGTGAGCCAGCTCTCCTTGAGGTCAATGGGAGCCACTCTACTGACTTCAGGGCAGGGCTTTCTGCACTGCCCAGGGAGAGCTGGGCTTATCTCAGTTGGACTTGATGACCTTAAAGGTCTTTTCCAATGATTCTACGGTTCTATGGTCTCCTAATAGCGCCTACAGCCATATAACTCAGCTGGCAGTACCAACTATACAATCACCACTTCAAAACCCCAACGGTAGGATGTCCCATGTACAGGGAACTTTGAATTATTTACAAGCTATCTAAGAGACACTAGCTATGGAAAAAGAGGCTGCTGGCTGCTTGGCACAGTTCAAATTTTAAGAGCTTGGTTTAGGGGCCTATGTATCAAACTGTTACATACTTGTTCTTTATATTCTTAGTTACTGTATTTGTGTGAATACAAGAAGTACAACATGGCTTGGCTTTTCCTTCTCACCCTCTTATCACAGCGGCCACAAAAGTTCCCAGGCCAGAGCTGGTTGCTGCTATTTTGGAAACGACACAGAGATTCAGCTATAAAATTTTCATGCCCAATTGTTATTTTGGCAGGCTGACAGCATTCGCCTGCAGATTGCATGGTAATTTTCTATTGTTCGTTACTCATAAAATCTGAGTGGAATCTCTTGATAGATACGCCTCTAACCCAAAGGCCTAAAATTTGGTCTCTTCTCTGCCAAATTTTCAAATGATATTGTAAACAGCAGGAGTGTTAGAATATCTCAAAAAGGTCACTGAAATCTTTTACAACAGGGAGTCTTAGGCTTTCTCACTAAAATACTCCCAGCTGCCTTAAAAAACCAGAAAAGGTTCCTCTCGGCGAAGACACCGAGGCGAAGGGCTCCGGAGCGGAGGATCGCGCCGGGGGACCCTTTCCTAAAAGCGGCAAAAACCGCGAAGAGCGTGAAGGAACATACTGTTTTACAGTCCTAGGACTTACTGTCATGGCTGTAACTGAGTTACCTTGTAGGCTACATGCTCACACGAGGTGAGCCAGCTCTCCTTGAGGTCAATGGGAGCCACTCTACTGACTTCAGGGCAGGGCTTTCTGCACTGCCCAGGGAGAGCTGGGCTTATCTCAGTTGGACTTGATGACCTTAAAGGTCTTTTCCAATGATTCTACGGTTCTATGGTCTCCTAATAGCGCCTACAGCCGTATAACTCAGCTGACAGTACCAACTATACAATCACCACTTCAAAACCCCAACGGTAGGATGTCCCATGTACAGGGAACTTTGAATTATTTACAAGCTATCTAAGAGACACTAGCTATGGAAAAAGAGGCTGCTGGCTGCTTGGCACAGTTCAAATTTTAAGAGCTTGGTTTAGGGGCCTATGTATCAAACTGTTACATACTTGTTCTTTATATTCTTAGTTACTGTATTTGTGTGAATACAAGAAGTACAACATGGCTTGGCTTTTCCTTCTCACCCTCTTATCACAGCGGCCACAAAAGTTCCCAGGCCAGAGCTGGTTGCTGCTATTTTGGAAACGACACAGAGATTCAGCTATAAAATTTTCATGCCCAATTGTTATTTTGGCAGGCTGACAGCATTCGCCTGCAGATTGCATGGTAATTTTCTATTGTTCGTTACTCATAAAATCTGAGTGGAATCTCTTGATAGATACGCCTCTAACCCAAAGGCCTAAAATTTGGTCTCTTCTCTGCCAAATTTTCAAATGATATTGTAAACAGCAGGAGTGTTAGAATATCTCAAAAAGGTCACTGAAATCTTTTACAACAGGGAGTCTTAGGCTTTCTCACTAAAATACTCCCAGCTGCCTTAAAAAACCAGAAAAGGTTCCTCTGCGTTTGTACCTCATGTTGTCTTGTACACTGCAACACCATAAGAAAACTGATTATAAAATGAGGTTGAAAGTCTGACTTCAATCCACAAAAGCAGAGAAATTCAGTGTTTACGCTACAACCATTACCATTCAGAGCTAAAACTCTGCTCAAACTGATTATCCACTCTGGCACTCCAGCTTTAAAATTATCCTCCAAATAAAAATAAGAACCCCATTTTGTTCAGTACCGTGGGCTGAATGAATTAGTCAGTGTGAAGGCTTGCTCATGCATAGCTTCAAGGGCAATTCTGGGTGTTTGAAGAATGGAAGTTTGGCCCCCGACCTGGGAATCGGTGCATACAGAAATAATAACTAACCTTTTCTTTTTACTCTCTGTTTCATAAAAGTGCATCACAGCCTGTGGCTCTTGTATGATGTACTGGCATGCACCTTGTAGGAACGCCACCACAGAGCAAAGCAAGGGTAGAAAACCAGCCACAGTGGTCAGCCGAGCTGCGAGGATTTCCAGTGCATGGGAAAACTTGGAAGATGTTGGTTTGATAGCTCCTGCAGTAACAGAGCTGGTACTGGGGGCAGTGGCTGGCACTGTTTATGATTTCTGATGAACCTGAATCTTGACATTTGGCACAATCACTTTTTTACAGGGAACTCTCAGCTAAAGGTTTGGAGCAAATTAAATGTCTGCAATCTGAAAACATAACCTGTACATAGTACTTGTATTACTACCTGGCTAGTGTATGAGGTGCTATTCCTTTTTTAGATCTAAACTTTAAAAACTCTCAACAAAAATTAAAGTCAACAGGTGGTGTCTTCTGAAAAAAAAAATCATTACAGAAAAAGTTACTAGACAGTCATAAAACACTTTGAATAAAATGGTTTGGAAAGATGTGTCTATGCTTATGTATGACAGGTCTCAGCTGTACCACTTGATTTAGGCTAATGTAAAGCATTCGGTCACATAAGTGCATCTCTCCAGCTGCTAGTTTATTTTCTAAACTCTCATCTTTTACTAAAGGAGAAAAAAATGTAGTTCCTTGTTGTTCAGCTCACAAAGAAATCCTCATAAATATATCAGCCTGGTGCAATTTTTGTAGGTGCATCTGTGAGTCTACAGAGAGGCCGGAGGAGCCAGAGATGAGCCGTTCCCCTTCAGCTGTGTTGGACACCTGGTGACCATACCTGAAGTGCTACCATTGCTAACTACATCAGAGAAGAAAGACTGGGGAGAGTCACAGAGCTATGCAATGACTGCACCTCAGTTTGCTCTCAGGAGAAAGGGACAGGGACAGACACCATACTTGCACTTCTGAATGGTCTTTCAACTTTGTGGGAAAGGGCAGAGGGGAAGAGATCTCAACTTCCTACCACTTCCCAGTTCCCAGCAAAGTGTATGTCTTCCACCACGCCAGACTGAAGCAGGGCGATGCATGTATGTGTGGGAAGAAGGTTTCTTAGGCACGAGCATAACAATCCCTCCCACCAGCAGTGGATCAAGTCTGCAGTTATTCTGCTCCCTGGCATCCTTGAGAGCAATCACTGAAGGAACCAAGTCTTTCCTACTGATTTGTCTTCAGACACAAAGGCTACTACACAGTGAAAGGGAATATTCTGTTCCCCATAACCACAATAGACAAAATGAGAAGCAATAGGTCTCACTTGCAGCAAGGGAGTTTTGGGAGAGCATTCTGGGATAGAGAGATGGACTAGATGAAATCTCTTCCAGACCTATTTTCTATGATTCTCAGAAACCCTTTCTGCAGTCCACCATCACAGACTCATTAATCCCTGCAATGCACAGTATGACATCCAGTGGAACAGCATACGCTCTCTGATGACTTTAGCCACAGTTGCAGAAGGGGAAATAGAGTTTTGTCCAATTATCTGGATGCTGGTGTTGTGAAAGTTTCCATAACATGTAATAAAGCCTGCTTGGTTAGGGGCCAGATGCTCCTTTGTCCTTGCTGAAGAGGAGAGGAGCAGAACCCAGCTTGAGCTGAACACAGGAGAAAGAAGAGGGGAACAATGCCTCTGCAATGTGGTTTTGCAAAACTACCACAAATTGCTGCTTCTTGAGTCCTGGGGGACAGTACTTGAGCAATGCAATTTGGTATATTCATCACAGGCAGAGTACAAAAAGCTAGATAAACAGCAAACCCAGCGTTCCTGGGAGGGGCAAACCAGTGATTAGTTGTAGGAGCTGTAGTACTGTGGCGTTCTGGTCCCACTTCTGTTATTGGTGCCAAAAGGAGAGTACCAAGGGAATCACAGCAGCATGAAACCAGGTCTGCTGCCAGAGAAAGTACTTGCTGAATTGGGTGCAATGAAGTTTCATCTTTTCCACTGCGCTTGGACATAAGAGTTATTTATGTGCAACTCAAATGTGACTCTCATTTACTCAGGGTTTGCTTGCCCTACTGCTAGTTCTTTCTTAAAATGCAGGTGTTTCAAATCCATTGGATTTGGGTCTACTCAAATCATGGGATGTTTTCTATGAGTGTAGCAGGGGTCCTACTCCAGGATTTTCCATAAGAGAAATTAATTCAGGATGGTAGCATTATAGATATCATTACTTAATTCACGTGGACAAGCAAACATCCCTGCTGCTGCTTCTGCTGCCACGCTAACAATAAAAAAATCAGCTAATGTTTTAAAATTATCAGAAAAGAAACTTTAAGTGTTATTTACCTGCAAAGAGGTTCTACAAGGTCCTTGTCAAGAAAATCATGATCTTTCTTTACTGCAGCAATGTCAATGGGAAACTGGGAGTCTATAAAAGGAGACACAACATTAAGATGACTGCTTGCTATTCAAATGAAAATACATTGTCTACTGCTAAAATGCTGTGCACGTGCTTGCTCACTGAAATCTAGTATGACTGATTTCACTCAGCTCTGGGTCCCTTCCAGCTGCATCTGTGACCCTTGCAGTCACTTTATTTTTTCCTGTTAAAGGTATAGTTGAACGTCCTGTGCACCAAAGGGAGCGCAAGGTTATTTCATTTTGGCCTTAATAAGATACTCAGTTGTTAGCTGTTCTTTCTAGCACCTAGCACAAACGGATGAGATCAGGGAATTACCAATACACTTTCTTTATCCACTTGAGCACAAGGTGCTTCATTCTCATCACAGTGACTTAAAGAGTTAGTTGCTAGACAGACTTTTCCCATGAAACAGAAATGTTCTGTGCTTTTTCTTTTAATACAGGTCCAAGTAACGACCATTTCAGACAAAGGGTTACTTGAGTAACAGAGACCAAAAAAAAAAAGAGCTGAATTATAACCCCCAATACTAGCTAGAAAGCCAGACCAGTGTGCTGGAAGCTGACATTTGTAATGAAAAGTGACATGGCTGCAACGCATTAGTGGGCTCCGTTAACGGTGGGACGGGTTCCAGCGCTGTGGCTGCTCTCCAGCCGGCTCTGCCATGCTTAGGTACCGCAGCAGGACTCCGGGATACGGGAACCGCAGCCAGCATTTGCAGACACTAGTGCTTAACACTGACATAATAGATGCGTGTAAAAAGGACCTTGTTTTCAGAGACACAGACTGTCTAGAGCGCATATTGACTGCATGGGAACTGTGGGAGCCCAGCACAGGTTGCTTTTTGGAGGGAACATCCCTTTGAGTTGAGCAGGCAGCGGGCTCCCCTTTCCCTGGGGGAGCAGGGATCTGAGATACTCTGATTACAAGGCAGACACGAAAGTACTACTGGGCACACAGGGACTGTGGTAGACACACACCAACATCAGCTTTAGTCTGGCAGGCTTATTAGTTTTAGTTCCTCACTGGGTTTAACAGAGCCTGCCTGGCTCCTGAGGAGCCACCTGAGCATCTCTGCATGGTGCTCGGTCAGGTACCCTGAGCGGCTTATCAGAAGCCAACACCTGCACCTTGAGGGACCTCAGCTGGCCGTCAGAAGCTGCAGAGGTGTCGTTGTCCATCCCACGTGCAGGGGATGGACGGTGTCTGAGCCGTCTCTCAGCAGAGCTGACTCTGACCCATGAGGTTTCTTGGCCACCACTCCATGTGTGGAGCCGTGCTGCCTCCAGACCCAAGCTGACCCTGGAAGGTATCCAGCAGCGTTTGGCGGAGCTGCACTTCGGCTAATAAGCCCGAGCGGGCCCGAGCTGGCTCTGTGTCTCTGGCAGAGAGAATATGCAGTTTGGGAAAAATGAGGATCAGCTGCAGTTTCCCTCTCAGCATGGAGCTAGGGAAAGCAGGAAAAGCCCAGCCCCAGTCCCCAAACTGCTCCTGAATGCAGCAGCAGTGCAACCGCTCGCCCTGCCCTTGGGGACGCTGCTTCCCCAGACAGGAACTTTACAGCTAGGAAGGGGATGTAGCCATTTGCTTTGAGTTAGCACCAAAACACTGGCTTTGCTTGCTCTGCAAATGTAAAACACAGCTCAGATTATTCACTTTTGGTAACTTTGCAGAGTTTTTTGATTTTATTTTCAGCAAGATTAAAATTTTCAGTAACTTCCAGTGTTTTCCATCTTATTTTAGACACAGTTCAGGAAGTTTAAAAAAAAAAAAAAGAGTCTTATGTATTTGAATTTTTTTTGTACTTGCTTTGGTTAACCTTTGAGGCTTACACAAACTATGTCCCTCTTTTTTTCTTCTTCCCATGGCTATGAGGGCAAGAATTTTACTCTTCTTTAGGCACTTGTATGACTCCAGCAGCTGAGGCTTTGTGAAGCAGCCAGCCATGGCCATAGCTCAGTCAAACGTAGAGTTGGCCGACAGTAAGCTCTCCTGGCAAGGGCCCAGTGCACTTTCAGTACTGCACAAAGAGGAGAAAAACCTACTTACCCTCATATAACTGAGCATATTGGGGAAATCCAGCCGCACGTAACCAGTCGCACGCTTCCTTTGCCTCGATTTCTGAGCAGAAAGAGAAAAAAGTTTGCACTTCGTTATTCTGCATGAGAAGTTATTTTAATTACAAGGAGATAGCAAAGATACTTGGTAGTAGCTGCTTGTTGCTTAAAAGTACTGTTGTCATGCTGAAGTATTTTTTTAATAGCATCAGAAAATAAAATGGTCCCTCAAAGAAATCCCCCTGCCTCCACAGGCCTCTGGGGTTGGCATAGACGCTTGGTGACCGGGATGAAGGGTTAATCACCTCCACGCAGAAGGAGAAGTTGCTCAGCCAGGTTTGTGGTCCTGTGTGCTATCCTCCCCCCCATCGTTAAGTTATTGGGGAGAGGTGAAGATGAAGCAGGGTGGAAATGGGGTGGCAGGGAACATGCACTGTGTTTTCTCCTGCTCTGACACTTCTTGCAGAGAAAAAATCCCATGTGAAAGCCACTGAAAGCTCTGCCAGGAACACCCCAGTGCAGGTCTCATGTTACCGAAGGGACAATTGCCCAGGTGGGATGGTGCCTCCCTACCCTTAGCCATCTCCCATAGCCATCTGTGCAGGCTCCCTCCATAGTCAATAGAGAGACAGTTACTTCCAAAGGGTGATTCATTGCACCTTGAAGCAGTGTCTAAAATAGGTGGGATAAATCAACTACTGACAACACTTTTCTCTTGTGGCTGCTAACTGAGGGAGGATAAACAGCTACAGGTATGTCTGTGCAGCTAAATAAAATAGATACAGGCAGTAGCTTCAAGCACTGAACCCCAGACTGCTCACTCTTTCATTTTAATCCACTTCCAGGCCTGTTTTTGGACTGTTTCAGTTATCTATCAAGACAAATCTTTTCTTGAACAGGCTAGTACTAAGCAGTGAGAAGAGGAATCAGTCTGTATCATCTCATCACTGCCTCTCCACTATTTAGAAGTACGGACACAGCTGCTGCTGGACTAAGTTTCCCCTTTCAAACAGCTTTCACTGGGTAAGATGTATCCCACCCGTATGGAAGAGGTTGGGGGAACCATCAGCTGGGCAAGAGAACAGTCCCTCCTTATTTTGGGGGTGACAGTAGAAATAAGTGAGCATGAGGGAATGAAGAGAAAATTGTGCTCAAGAGGAGGATTAGGTAAGACCCAAAGCTTTTTGCACAGGAGGGGCAGATCCACCCTGTGCAGCAGTAAATAAATAAATGCCAGCTACACAAAAACAGAGGGTAAATTTTGAAGTACCTCCAGCAAAACAGACTTTGCGCGCTCCGGCAGTCACACACACGGTTATGCACCCAACTTCTGAGATAACCGATGCATGTTGACCGTTGGGTACCTCAATTTTTACCAAGCTCCATAGGCTCATTTTATGGAAAGCGGTGTGCCACGTCTGGCTCTGCCCACGCCCGCGCTGCCTGCCTGTGCAGCTGCGCCCAGAGTGACTGGAGGCACAACTGAGAATAGAGGCTCACCCAGATAAATGTGCATTGCTGAGGAAACCTGGGCAACATCTCCTTGCTGCTCAGATCTAGATCAGGATCTACCACTCAAACAGTTTCGGTTTACAAAATCAAAGTCAAAACACGCATCTGCACCCCTTAGATTTGCAAAACACTGAGGAATGGAGCGTGCAGGTGTTGAAGAAAGGAGTCGTTTTATGTTGCTTATTATTCAACCTGAATGAACCAGTCAAGGGGTTTGGCACATTAGTGGTTGTAAAATCTAGGCAGCCATAATACAAACCCCTAAATTTAAAACAAGCAATGGAACTGGAAAAAGACAATCAGGCTCAGTTGCTGCTTTGCATGCAAAAAAAATTCCAGTTGTAAAACTGTTTTCTACTAAAATGCATTTTTGTAGATAGGAGATGTTGGCGTAAATTTTTCCTCATGTAATTCTGTTCAAATCACTCATTACACCCTTAATGAGTTTACCCACTGAAGCTCAGCATAAAACCTGCTTTGAATATACTCTGCAGTATGTGACCCACACACCTTTCTGGTCCTCTAAATACTGAGTCATGCTGGCAAATTTTGTTGCAGAAATCAAAATTCAGACTACAAGGTGTCCTTATCAAAAGCCTGATTTACCAAAGATGATTAGGCAGCCAGTAACAGCTCTGCAATGGCCACACTTATTAGCAGTGCCGAAAAGGATTTACCACCAGGTCTTCACTTGCTTTGACATTAGTTCATGTCAAGGCCAAAAAAAGGAGTATGAAAGTACATTCAGTTCTTAACACTGCACAAAAGAATGAGCAGCTTACATAAAACGTGGCTCTCACTACTGCACATCTGTGTGCTGAAAGCACATCTCTATTATGTTCCAGTGAGACTGAATATTTTTATTAAATGCTTGGAAAAAAGACAAGTCTTTATATGCTTTTTTCTTTTGCTTAATTCAATCTCATGAAACGCAGATGAATCAATCCCATTTCAAAATGTATTTTACAACTCAGAACAGCTGTACGTACATTCTAGCTTCATCTGGCCTGGAAGCACAACTAACGGAGGCTGTGGGTGATGGAGAATGCTACCATTTAATGCTCTTATACGCTTCTCATATTTCAATGTTTTTTGCAGTTGGCTGCTCAGAGGAGCTTGCTGAAGAATCTTCCTGCAGCCCAAGTGAGATCTAAAACATCTCAGGTTGCAGTGGGTGAATAATTCCAGGGAATAACCAAGGAAGTAAATCTCACCCTTTGTTGGTTTATTTTTCTTTTGTACGAGACTGTAACACATTGCAACCAGTCAAAATTGATTGATGGATTAACTTCTGCTTTCAAATCTTTGACTCTTATCTGTCTCCTCCATGAAGGAATCTATTGGGAGTATTCTAATTTTCTAGACGATCATCTCAAACAAACAGATTCCCCCTCGAATAAGATTTGCTAAGTCAGCTTCCAGGACACTGGGTCTCGGACATGTATCAGTGCTCAGTTCCCTCCCATATCTCTCTTTCCTTTTTGGTCTCAGAGGACAGAGAAGGGGAGAAGTGCAATGTGCTGCTGGCCCAGCTAATACCATGACTTTGCTCATATCAATGTATTTCTACTGGCTAAAGGCACCCCTTCCAGCCACCCCCCTCTTGGCCGCTCCTGCAGGGTAGCTGAAAAGGCACAGCCAAGGATTTACTCCTCAGCAGGCACTGAAGGTGATTTCTATTATCTTGCTCTGGGCATGTAATCCAAGATACAGTTCAGAATGCAATACAGATTCTTTCATTGCTGGATATTGCAATGCTTAAAACATAATCTGAGATGCTCAGTTTAACCTTCTCTTTCTATGCACATACTCTAATATTTGCCTTTTTTTACTTGCTAGTTAAACATCAGTGAAGACTTCTTTGAGAAGAGACCAGTACAGCATCAAAAAGACCTTGCTGGAGCTGTCAATATAGGGTTACAGAAACACTTTTGGTGGTTCTGTTCCCACGTCCAGGCTAATGCAGGGGTCTGAACCAGCCTGCAGCAGCTGCGCTGCCTTGGTGCAACCCTGAAGGACTTGGAAAACTCCATGTGTTCACAGGTGGCTCCAAGGCAGCTTATCAACAGCACAGAGATGGGCTGTCACGCTGAGAAGAGTGATTTTAGAGACGACATGGCTCATGGGTTTGCACTCAAGGCTGGCAGGAACCACAGGTCCTCCCAAAAGCACGTGAGCTACCACTGACCCACAAGCAGCATCTCCCTTGGTGTGACCAAAAGGCCACGCCAGCACACCTGATGGTGGGTGTGTGCTTACACACTTCTGCCCTGCTCTGCTGACTGAAAAATAGTCAGGGATTATTTACCTACTGCTTTCCACTTGCTTGTGCAGCAGTTAATGACAATCATTAATTATTAAGGCTAGACAAGAATTCAGTCACAAATATTGATGAGCATCAATATGTTTCACAGTACTTGAATTCTCAGGGGTTTTTTTTGGTTTTTAGTTGAAGGTTGACAGGAAACAAGTTTCTCTTTTCCACTTCTGCCAGTAGCAAGTTATAACCGAGATCTATACATGCAAAAGCCCTCCAGCCACATTTCTGGGGAGACCGGGGGTGATGATCTCCTTATGGCAACCATATCCCCCTCATCTACCAGCTCTTCCCAGGAGGTATGTCCAAAGTCCCCTGCGCACAGACGTTGATGCTGACCTTCCTCATATCTCGCCCCAGAGGCTCCCCAGATGTTGCCGCCTGCTTCACCAAAACCTTTCAGCGCCCATATGCAAGCAGGGGGTTAAAACCTTGTCACACACCTCTTTGATCAGCCAAGCTGTCTTTTTTTTTTTCCCTATGGGACTGTGTTTTAATCTTTGCTCCTACAGTTGTCCCACTGTGTATCAAATTAAATGTTTATCAGAGACTCTGATACAGTAGCCCAAAGCATATATTGCAGAGTAGAGATTGACGTGCAAATCTCTGATCCATTTTTTTATTTAATTAGGGTGTAAATTTAGCAAAATAAGGAGAGAGAGGTTCACCCAGGAAATGTGAGAGGTGTTCAGAGCACCTGGCTTTGAGTCCATCTCTAGCGTTAAGCGGGTTTGAGCTTGTCTCCCACAGACCGTGTGGGTGCTCTGGCTACTCTTGGGCTGAAATGGAGATGGACGCTTGCAGTCTTTCTCTCAACAACTTCGCTGATTTTTTGCAAACTCCTTTGATGGTGCCCAACACCAGAGGAAGACTCCAGCAGCCAGCTGCCACCAAAGGGTACATCCTGCCCTGCCTGTCCTGTGCTGGCTGGCTCCCTCTCCTGCTTCCCTTCCTGCCACACTGGCTCCCTGCTCACCCCCCAGCGA